GATCAGATTTATTTAGCTGCCCATCTCACAAAAAGTGACTCTGGATGGTGTACAATAAAGTAAAACAATAAATATCTAAAAAGCTATCATTATTAAAAATATAAAACAGTCATTATTAAAAATAAAAATATTCCTTCTCTGGTCCCTCTATTCTCACTTTGGCCCTACTCTCTCTGAACTTCTGTGCATAGGATTTGCTTTAACAAAGAGCCCGTGTGACGCACACAGTCTGCTATAGAGAGGACAGGGCAATTTTAATCTTTTGCTTCCTCTGAGGATCTAAGTCTACCACCTCTGGTGCTATTATCTCCATGGTAATAATCTCATCTTGAATTTTATATACAAAATTCCAAGAGGAGTTTTAACGCGAGAAGTTGCCCTCCTTCCTGAAACACACCCAGATATACCTGTGGTGTTTTGAAGATGCCCAAAATGTTTGAAATCTGGATGGAAATATCAGTGTCAGCCCCTTCAAGGACAACCAACAGGTTTTTCTGCCTTCCACAACTATAGTTTGGAACATTTGCCTCCCCAGTAGAGACTAGGTTTAGCAGAGCATCCGAAGTCATCCTAGTGTCGTAATAGTTGTCATGGATATTATAGCCCAGAGTGATGTTGTAGAGAAGCCTGGGATCTTGGTTGATCTCCTGAATGGCAAAGAGGAAGGAGAGAATTTTCCAGAACATCATGGATCCTTCCCTACAAATACACATTTACAGATTACCCTATACTCTATTTAATTTGTGCCTTTTAGTCCTCACAATTTTTCAGCGTAAAGCTTACACTAATCTAAAGTCAGAGTCAAAACACAAGTGTCAACTAAAATTTAACACTCTGGTCTATTGACCAGAGGATGATTTAATATGCTTCTTATCCACTCAATCCCTGAAGTTTTCTGAGCAGATTATGATGTTGCTAAAACTAGGAAAACATGATCCAATATGCCCTATAAGGAAAGGTACCATAGGAAAGTTAAAACATAAGAGCCACCATTTCATTAGATTGCAGTCATGTGAAAGGGAGAAATAAAGAAGCTGAGTGGACAGTGGTAAAGGTGCTAGACTGGTGCAAGGAAAGGCCAGGTTCTCCTCCTAAAGCCTTGGAAGATTTGAGAGCTTTGCTAATATGTTTGTAACCTGGGCCTGTTTAGATGATGGAAAGGAGAGGATGACCTCCTTTCCAATTTTAGTGGGACTGCAAAAGCAAATTGCATTGACCCAGCCCAAAATCATTGCCTGGAGAATGACTTTCCACATATATGAAGGTTTACTGAAAACATATAGGAGAAATTTAGCTCTTTTGGAGTGTATTAATTTTGCCCTTTAAACTGATTTTTGAAAAATTCTAAGAAATTTTTATGTACATGATTAATAAAACTATCTTTAAACTTTAGAAAGTCTT